TTTGCTTTTTCGGACCTTCAGGTTGGACCCCAATTTCTCTGAGTTTTTATTAATCATGTATCAATCATGTATAAATGAACGCCTTCCCTGGTGCACGGGGCTCATCCCAGAACTGTTGAGCGCTGGTGGGATCAAGTTCTGTGAGCACTCCAAGCACGGGCCATCATTTCTCAGGCAGAGGCACAGCTGACTCCAAGACTGCTCCACCCACAGACCCACCTGGGCCTCCATGTCTCCAGTGGTCTGGGTTTCACGTTTATTTGATGTTTCTAATGAGCTGTTGTCCTGCACATATGCCTGTGCACAACATATGTGCATGCTTGGTGCACAAAAGAACCAGAAGACGGCACTGTATCCCCTAGATTGGAATTGCAGACAGTTGTGAGCTGTCGTATTGGTGCTGGGCATTAAACCTGGGTCCTCTGGAAAACAGTCAGTGCTCTCAACCATGGAGTCATCTTTCCAGTCTCACGGGTCTCACTTCTTGAAGATGACCATAGCATGAACCCCTTACTCAATAAACTGGTGTGTGTGTGTATGTGTGTAGTCCTTCTACAGTGTTTAAAATGCCCTTTAAAGAGTGATCTCCGTCTGCTTTGGTTGGGCTTGCCCTTCTGGGACAGGAGCGGGTGACTACGTGCAGGGTCAATGCAGAACTGGTGACACCGTGGACCCCACGACCTGTCAGAATTGCAGTCCCACACCCCTTCCTCCAGACACCTGTTCTCGCTGACACTGGCTGCTGGAGCTTCTGAAGCAGCTGACATTCAGGGAGACATTTCTGAAACCAGGACTGTTTTGCCCATGGACACCCATGTGCATGTGTTTTGTGTATGTTCAATGTGCATGTGTGTCTGTTGGCATGTGTGCACAAACCAGCCAGCCTGGTGGAGCTCTGTCCATTTCTAACAAGTAGCTCTTTCCTATCAAAGCAGGTGCTGTGGGAACACGGTTGAGGCATGGACATGGGGCTGCTGGCTGTTGCTGCTTTTTACTGGGGGTGGGGAAGTCCTGACAGATGGGGATGAGGGACACTGCTGGCTTACTAGTTTATCATCCTTACACTGTGATCAGCCTGTCACTAGGGACTACACCCTCCAAGTCAGTGACTTCCTTGTGCTTCAGAGAGGATCCAGAGAGTGGGGGAAGGGCCACCAAAGACAGGACATGCAGATGTGCCTGACCCAGCTGAGCCTGTTCTGACACCCACAATCCTCTGGAAGACTCCTGTTAGAAGCCTGAACACACACATGGTCACATGACAGGGCACATGCTCACTTTTACAGGGACAAGTGCCCATATGTACCACATATGCACACGCCAGACCCACAGGGGTTCACCTGTGACCTCTGCTCATGTACAAACATAAACAGGCAGGAAGGGGGGGGCGCTCCAGGGAGGAGGCCAGGATACACCCGAGTCGGCACCTTAGTCTTTTCTCTGGCTATGACAGTCACTCCAGCTTTCATGTTTCATTCGCAGCAGAGGTTGGGGTGCTCCTCCCAGTGTGTTGAAGCACCCACAAATGGGCGTCTAGCGTGTCTGCCTGGGTGGCACTCACTGCCCACCTGAGAAGGGCTCAGGTCACAAACGGTGCGTCTTGTACCCTGCCAGTACGAGGCAGGTCCTGGGCTGACCTGTAGCTATCCTTCACTGTAGCTGACAGTGCTTTCCTGGGCATTATTAAGGACCGTGTCAGCAGCTGGCGCGGATGCTGCCACTGTCCTCAGGTGATTGATCACAAAGGGCCTCCATGGCTGTTTATTTCTAGTGACCCCGTCTCCCCTCCACTCTGGCTCACTTAAGAGTTATGAAGGTGAAGTGGGATAATTTGATATCGATCTATTTGCTGAGCTAAATTGACCACATGGTGGACGCCAGCAAGGGCACTCAGCTCTACTAGGGCAGGTGGAGGTGGCTCGGAATTCCCGCTCATGGCCACAGCGGGGGCGGGGGGGGGGGTCGACAGGGGCCAGCGTCAAGGGCCTGGGTCCTAGATACTGGGGAAGTGAGTCTTCTCGGGCACGGGAAGGTTCTGCCAGGGCCATGAGCCACCAGAACTGTACCCGTAGGATTGTGACGAGCATGACAACGGGTGCTTCCCTCTCTGGCCAGAGATGGAATGTCTAGAAAACAGCCAATCTGAAGGCACCCTACAGAGAATGGCAAGAGACCGGTGTGTGTGTGTGTGTGTGTGTGTGTGTGTGTGTGTGTGAGATACATGCACGAAGGCACAGATCTGTGGCTCTGCTGTTCCTCTTCATTCTGAGATCTAAGCTGGTGCAGCCTCCGGCTTTAGGTCTGAATAATGGTTCTACAGCATCTTTCCCTATGCTGGGCCACACCAGGGCTCCAGACATCGGCACTGCCAGTGAGGGTGTGGGGAAGGGACCACAGGGCTCAGTGTCCTTGGGCTTCCTGCTATCTGTTCAGGCTCTGCTCAGCAGGGGGTGCCTGGCTGCCCAACTGCTTCCAGGTACACAAGGCTTCCCTGTCAAGGTCTTGAAGGCACTGTCCAGGAGGCAACAGAGTAGGTGTGCATAGAGGGGTGCCTCCTCCTGTGACCTTGTGAGAGGGCTTTCTGGAAACTCGGGGACTGAGGACTGTGGCCTGTAACACTCCTGCTCTGGAAAGTAGGTTCCAGATGAAGCTGGTTGCTGCACGGTGATAGCAAAGGCAGTCAGGGAAGCCAGGGACTGGGAGGCAAACTTAGGGCAGCTGGGAGGATGACAACCTAAGCTCCAGCAGCTACCTGTGGCCATGGCCTAAGCATCGCGACATGAGGAACCCTTTCACAGCGGCTCTCTTCACTTCCTTTCTGGTGCCTCAGCCTAACACAGAGGTCAACCTTGCTTAGGCCATAGTCAGCCTCACCTCCCACCATTCCTGAGGCTTTTGCCTTGGCCTTTGACTCCAAAGGCTTGAGCCCAGTAGAAGCTGTGGTGTTTACTGAGCAAGATGGCCTAATACAGAGTGAGCTACAGATGAGGCAGCCCAGGGTGGCTCTGGCGGGCTGCACTGGGATTCTCTAGGAATCCTGCCACCAACCCCAGGAGCACAGCCACCAACATGGTCTGGCCCCTGGGAGGCCCAGACTTCCGATAGGTTCTTATGCATCCTGGTTTCCGGGGACAGAGCACCTTCCATTCAGTGAAGTATACTCCAGTCTAACGAGGAGCACTACCGGGCTTGAGTGTTGCCGGTGGCAGCGTCAGAGGCTCCATTACCACTGCTTGCTACTGGCCCTCATTTGATGTCTACAGATTGTGGAGAACCATGTACGGGCACATGGCTATCACTGACACAGCCGTCAGAAGTGGCCCCATGAAGTACCCTACAACACGTGGGCACAGGAGACCACTTCCTAAGTATAACCCCAGCAGCACAGACATTAAGGGCCTCATTGAATAAATGGGACCTCCTGAGACTGAGAAGCTTCTGTAAAGCAAAGGACACTGTCACTAAGACAGAAAGGCAACCCACTGACTGGGAGAAGATCTTCACCAACCCTGCAACTGACAAAGGTCTGATCTCCAAAATATATAAAGAACTCAAGAAACTAGACCGTAAAAGGCTAATCAACCCAATTATAAAATGGGGCACTGAGCTGAACAGAGAACTCTCAACAGAAGAAGTTCAAATGGCCAAAAGACACTTAAGGTCATGCTCAACTTCCTCAGCGATCAGGGAAATGCAAATCAAGACAACTTTAAGATACCATCTTACACCTGTCAGAATGGCTAAAATAAAAAACACCAATGATAGCCTTTGCTGGAGAGGTTGTGGAGAAAGGGGTACCCTCATCCATTGCTGGTGGGAATGCAAACTTGTGCAACCACTCTGGAAAGCAGTGTGGCGGTTTCTCAGGAAATTCGGGATCAACTTACCCCTGGACCCAGTAATACCACAAGAGAGGCCTTATCATACAACAAAAGTATATGCTCGGGGCTGGAGAGATGGCTCAGAGGTTAAGAGCATTGCCTGCTCTTCCAAAGGTCCTGAGTTCAATTCCCAGCAACCATATGGTGGCTCACAACCATGTGTAATGGGGTTTCGTGCCCTCTTCTGGCCTGCAGGCATACAGATAGAATATTGTATACATAATAAATAAAAAAATACTTAAAAAAAAGTATATGCTCTACTATGTTCATAGCAGCATTGTTTGTAATAGCCAGAACCTGGAAACAACCTAGATGCCCTTCAATGGAAGAATGGATGAAGAAAGTATGGAATATATACATATTAGAGTACTACTCAGCAGTAAAAAACAAGGACTTCTTGAATTTTGCATGCAAATGGGTGGAAATAGAAAACACTATCCTGAGTGAGGTAAGCCAGACCCAAAAAGAGGAACATGGGATGTACTCACTCATATTTGGTTTCTAGCCATAAACCAAGGACATTGAGCCTATAATTAGTGATCCTAGAGAATCTAAATAAGAAGGAGAACCCAAAGAAAAACATATAGGCATCCTCCTGAATATTAACCTTCATCAAGCGATGAAAGGAGACAGAGACAGAGACCCACATTGGAGCACCGGACAGAAATCTCAAGGTTCAAATCAGGAGCAGAAGGAGAGAGAGCATGAGCAAGGAACTCAGGACCGCGAGGGGTGCACCCACACACTGAGAGAATAGGCATGTTCTATTGGGAACTCACCAAGGCCAGCTGGTCTGGGTCTGAAAAAGCCTGGGATAAAACCGGACTCGCTGAACATAGCGGACAATGAGGACTACTGAGAACTCAAGAACAACGGCAATGGATTTTTGATCCTACTGCACGTACTGGCTTTGTGGGAGCCTAGGCAGTTTGGATGCTCACCTTACTAGACCTGGACGGAGGTAGGTGGTACTTGGACTTCCCACAGGGCAGGGAACCCTGATCGCTCTTTGAGCTGACGAGAGAGGGGGACTTGATTGGGGGAGGGGGAGGGAAATGGGAGGCGGTGGCGGGGAAGAGACGGAAATCTTTAATAAATAAATAAATTTAAAAAAAGAAAGAAAAAAAAAAGAAGTGGCCCCAGAAGGAGAGAGAAAGGAGGATAGGGGAGGGGAGGGGAGAGGAGAGGAAGAGAGGGGGAGGTAGGAGAGAGAGCGAGAGAACACTGTTTCTCCACGTGCACATAGCCAAGCAGGTAGGAGACCTACGGTGCTTGGGGGCCTGGGGGATGGAGGTCAGGGAAGCTTTCAGATGTGGACACAGCAGAGCAGGAAGGTCTGAGAAGCAGGCAACAAAGGGAACAGAGCATAGAGAAGAACCAGAAAGACCCTAAATTGGGGTGAGGCAGGGTCAAGGCAGGGAAGCTTCAGGGCCATCTGGGGACAGCCTTGGGGGGCTGTTCGACCACACAGACCAAAGTTCCAGGGTAAGAGTCCCAGCAGCAGGATCCAGGTCTGGGGGCTGCAGGCTCCGCCCAGTGCCACTGTCTGGCATCCTATGGCGGCTGGAAGCTGCGATTGCTGGAGGTGGTGCGTGCAGACATGTAACTTGTTCGCCACAGCCAGGAAGCACAGGACATTGTCTTCTGTCTTTATTTCATCTCTTTTCTCAGCGTCACCTCTGCCCCTCTGGGACCTGCCCTTAGGAGTCAGCAGTCTTGGGCACTGCGAAGATGGCCACACACTGGACAGTCATGCCCTTACTGTGTTTGCGAGGCTGACGTACATCAGTGATCTCAGGGACAACTGAGGACACACCCAGTGATCAGGGCCACGCGAGCTTGGACAATCAGCCTGGGTGATTTCACCCCAGTGTTTTTGATTCTGGTCAACTTGATTGCAGGGGAGGAGGGTTGTTTCTGTCTAAGGGTGTCTGGGCCCACTGCGAGGCCCACAGCACATGATCGTCAGGGGATGTCTGCTGTCCTCTGGCCTCGGCCCCCTGGCTCCTCTGGTCACGAGGGGTAGAACTGCCTGAGTAGTTCCTTCTTATTCACCTTGCCCATCTGGTTCCGTGGGATCTCCTCCACCAGCAGGAGCTCAGAGGGCACAGCATAGGGTGCCAGGACACCTCTGTAGAGACAAGTACAGCTTGAGATGATTGCCCAACCCTGGGAGAATTGTGGGCACTGGATACACCCAGCAGCATTGTGGGCTCACCCAGATTCCATTGGGTGGTAACAGTATGGCCACCTTGCCCTTTGGAGGGAAAATCGTTCTCTGCCTTCTGGCTCCAAGGCCTGCGAAGTCAGGTCGAAGGCAGCAGATTGAATGAATGTGGACACAGTGAGAGGAGAGAGCCAGGGAAGGAGGAGGTAGCAGAGCTATGCGCCCTGTGGAATTTGGTTCCTGTCATCTGGAGTAGCCGCTCAGACATGCCAGCAGAGCGAGGCACCCTGTGGCACTTAGGTCTTGCTTCTCTGCCCACCGTAGGACAGTGTACCCCAATTCTAGCTGGGCTGGCTTTACTCTCTGATTTTTACCACAGAGGCGCTTTGTAGAGACTCCACAAGGGATTCCAGGCCTCCCAGGGCCATCTCCCTCTGTGCAGCTCTGGTCCTGTTCTGCTTCCTGGTGCCCCCACCTTTCTTCTTTAGTCTTGTTAAGTTTGCCTAGCTTGTGTATTTCTGTGTATTAAGTTTGCCTAGCCTGTGTATTTCTGTGTAGAAACTGGGCAGCTTTTTATAGGAGGTTCACTGTGCAGTGTGATATGGGGACTGTGTACAAACCTCCACAGTGCACTGATGTGGTCAGCAGGCACAGGAGGCACGGCACAACCACTGTCTGGACTTCTGGTCCCATCACAAGTAACAGACACGTTAGCATCAGATGAACTGTATGTCTGATGGGATTGGAAAGAGGCAGCAGGGGCTGCTTGCTCCTGAGCACAGGAGAGATGTCCACTCTCAGAGCCCCATCTTTCCCCCACTCAAGAAGGTCTCTTCTCTGGTCCTGCTGAGAATTCCCGCAAGTGGTACTGGGATCTAGACATGTGCTCTGTGTCTATGGGAACAACTGCACGGCTTTTACTCTGTAAACAGGGCACGCCACTCGGGTGGATTTCTGAATGTTTAACCTCACATTTCTGGTATAAATGCCACACGATCATGATGCGTTGGCTCTTTTGTGAATGGGACCTAATTTCCAGCACTTGGTTAAGCATTATGTGTCTGTCTGACAGGAAACTGGTCTGGGTTTCTTGTCTGGTTTTGGTACAGGGTCGTGGGTCCCATGAAGTCAGCTGAGAGTGTCCCTCCCCACCGGAAAGCACTTGTGTGCACGTCTTGGAGTGTCCCTCGAGGTGCTCAGTATCTTCTGCTGCCACAGCCTTCTGGGCCCGGCATTTGCCTTATGGTGAAGTTTTTGGCTGGGAATTGAGCTACAGAGACACAGAGCTCCTCAGCCTCTGGCTTCTGGGTCAGCTCTGGTACCCACATCACAGGCACTAACAGTTACAAGGACACACTCAAGGCTGTGTGGCACCTCCTGAGAACACTGGGCTGCTGTGAGGTTGCACCTCTGTGGATAACAGTGACACCTGGGTTCTCTCTGCTTCCTCCTGAATCTCTCTCTCATCTCATAGCTCATGCTGGCTTTGAACTTTCTCTGTAGCCAAGACTGGGTTGAACTCTCCTCCTGATACTTCCGTGTCTGCCACCTGAGTGTTTAAATCACAGGTGTGTGCCACTGTGCCCAGCTTTCCCTTTCAATCGATGTGGAGAAAATGTGGTGCTTTGTTAGTTTCCTCTCCAGACGCTGTCTCTTTCTGGAGCTTCAGGGTGAGCACTCCCGTCTCTCCTCCTACCTGCCTCTCTTTAGTGGCAACAGCCCAGCACTGTGGCCTGAGACAGCATGGCCAACAAGGCTCCAGGTCACCAGCAGCAAGCAGCACCCCTCCACCAAGCACGGATACGACATCACGTGAGGCTGGGCCTTGAGGCCTCTGTCAGTGGCAGGCCAGCCTTCCCTTGCAGGAGCCACCTGGAAGCATGGACACTGTTCTTTGAGGAGTGGGGGGGTTACAAGTGGGGATCTCTCTTCAGGATCCCTCAAGAAACAACTTGTGGTGTGGCTACCCACTACGGGGACAAAATCTGAGGGGCAAGCAATTTTCTTGGGCAGTCTGCATCCTGGCCCTGCTCACATGTCTGGCAGTCTTCCTTGCATTGTCCTGTTCTATACAACTCCCAGGATGCTCCAAACCTCAGCTCCCCATTTTAGAGTCTTCTCATGCTTACCATGAGCCTGAACACCCAAGCAAGGAGCCTGACTTGAACCTTAGAGAAAGGTCTTGAGGGGAAGCACTCAGCACAGGAGCCGCAGACTTGTGTCATGGACACAGGCCATGACCTACGGAAGCCAGGCCAATGTAGGACCCAACAACTGCTGTGGCTCCCAGCAGAGGATGCCTGGGTGTTTTTCTTCTCAAGAAAGTAATTGTTTAATCAAAGCAGCTACCGGCCAAGCAGACTGTTGCCTCTGCTAAGCTACAGAGCTCCAACTGTGATTTTGCAAATCCAGGGGAATCGGTAATTGCCCAGCTGTGCGGCCCCTGATGAAACAAGGACTCCTGCTGTTTGTGAAGTCTTGTTGGACAGCCAAAAATAGTCTTACGCTGAGAAGACGGCGGGTGGGGCAGGAGACACAGCAGAGAGGAGAGAACTTTTCAGATTTAAGAGAAGGAACCCAGAGGTATCCTCATGGGTCACAGTGAAGCTTAAAGAGGCTGTGAAGGCCCCAGTGAGTCCCCTTCTGTCCTGTGGATCCCGGGATGACATCAGAAGCCACCAGGGGCTGAGATGAGGAAAACTGGAGTATAACACAAAGAATGGGAGGTGGGGGAAAAAAGCCAGTATGCTGGCAGCGATACAAGCTTTTAATCCCAGCTCTCCTGCGAGGCAGAGACAAGTGGAGCTCTGAGTTCGAGGCCAGCCTGGTCTACAGAGCAAGTTCTAGGACAGCCAGGGCTGTTACACAGAAACGCTGTTTCAAAATAAAAAACGAGACAAGCAAGTCCAGGTGACAGGATGGACAAAGCCCCCACCCTGGGTCTGAGGAGGGAGCTGCAGGCACCATCCACAGACACTGAATTAGGAGCACACCAGGCTTTGAAGGCCCCACAGAAAGGATGAGGTACCAAGCCACCCTCAGGGCAGGATCAGAAAAGGCTGCAGGGCCCAGGCCATTCTGCGACAGGCTGTACAAGTTTGGCTGCTGCTCAGTTCAGCACTGGATTAGCCAGGCACTTTCCTGGGGTCCTCAGCCTCACTACGCTTTGGGGTTCACAAGCTGAGAAACACATCTGTCTCGGACGACTACTGACTCCCAACCCTGTCTGCATGGGAAGCCCTTCCTGGTCCCAGGTCTGCAGGAAAGACACAGAGCTATTCAAGGGCCACTCTGCTCACCTTTTCAGCTTCTTCCTCCCCATTTCCAAAATCCAGAATGGTCCACCCCTGCTTTCCAGTTCCTAGACAGGTCCCTCCCATCCTCCCGATTCCAAGATCCTTAGATACCATAGAACCCAGGACAGTTCCTTTAGCCCTACCTGGCCCACTCCTTGAGATCCTTGTGGGACAGCGAGTGTCCTTCTTGAAGGGCCACCACAGCTGTGACCCGCTGGCCCCATGTCATATCCGGAACTCCAATCACAGCCACATCTGAAGACAGTACAACAGGTTGAGGACACCTAGGAAGGCCCTGATGACCACTCAGCAGCACTCAGGAGTGTGGGGGATGGCAGGCAGTTAACTGCAGTGCCCAAGCGCCTGGAGCAAGACCCTCATGGGAGTGGGGCAGCATCTCTAGGGGCTCAGTCTGCAGAGTGCTCTGCTGCAGCAGGCAGCAGTCTGGGACTGCATTGGGAATCCGTGTGCTGAAGGCCAGGGAGGGAGCACCATCACGTTCCACAGGGTCCCCACTAACAGCTGGAAGAGTAGAAAAGGGGGCACTGGGTCTTGGGGGCCACCATTCACTCACCGGTGATGCTGGGGTGGGCCAGCAGGTGCCGCTCAATCTCCAGGGCACTGACTTTGTAGCCTCCAGTCTTGATGATGTCCACTGATGTACGCCCTCGGATCCAGTACCTATCGTCCTTGAACACGGCGGTGTCCCCTAGGAAAGAGGGTTCTGTTAGTTCTGGACAGTCTGGGAGTACCTGGTCCAGGAGACCTTGGTGCTCCTAGGGGACCACACGCACATGTGTGAGTCCCACTATTTCCAGTGTCCAGCCCCACTTCCTGTGGGGATGGTTCTAATGGCATGTGTCCCTCTCCATCCTCTATCCCTATGACACTGGCACCCCGCCTCACAGGGAGGAGCCAGCAGTGAGGAGCGGATCCGACCACAATCCATGGGGTCTGTAAAACCCTGAACTCATAAGCCAGTGTGCAGCGTTTCCAAAGGAAGCAGCAAGCGGTTTGCTGCCTCTGGCTCTGGATGATCTACACCAGGGAAGGGGAAGCCTTGACCCTGACAATCCATGCACAGCTTCACACAGATGCGTGCAGGGCACCCTCCTGCAGTCCCCACCCCTGTCCACTCTCTGTCATCCTAGCATGGGAGGGTCCTGGGTGGAAGGACGACCATTTTCAGTCCTTCCTCCAACATGGAGGATGAAGACCCTCCTGCTCTTCTGCCCTTGATCCCCACCATTCCCAAACAGCTACAGTGATTTTTCTCCCTAAGCAAAATAACTGTTCCACCTACTCTTTTCACAGGGGAGCCTGGGACCCTGGGCGCTTGTTGCACCCCACGGGAACACTGGCAGAGCCAGGAGCAGGCACCAGAGCACAGGGCTGTATTCCCAGCTGAGGTTCCCTCCTGCACAATGGCGTGGGGGAGGTGTGTGTGTCTGCACATTAGTGCGTGTGCATGTCCATGCACGCACATTTGCATGATTATGACTGTGTGCAGGCATGCAGATGTCAGCGGCAGCTCTGACAGCAGCGGTGTCTGTTCACATGCTCCCTGCACTCCTTCTGGGTTATTAGCTGGAATAAATCATAAATATTTCATTATACATCACGCAGTCCGTCATGAGAAGGCACCATCCATCACCTCCTCACTCCCTGGGACTTGCAGTGCAGGGCTCACTCCAGTCTATTAAACAAGATGGATGGGTGGCCTGGATGAGCCCAGGGCTTATTTATGGTGGAGAGGGAAGGCTGGCCTCTGGAGCAAGGACTGGCACTGGGCAGTTCTCTCTCCGGTGTGGCAGCTCTCTATGTAGCAGGTGGCAGAAGAGCTGGGGGGATAGCCACTGCCTAGATTAGGCTAGCCCCTTGGGCAGGTACTGAAGGGAGAGGACCCAGGTGTAGGCTATGGGGTATACATGGCTGTCCTGAGTCCTAAGGGACCCTCTGTGATTCCATTCCTGCTGTCACTCTGGATCCAGCTGTGCCCCTCAGATTGGAAAGCTCAGTTTTCCACTGGCTCCCCTCCCCTGTAGGCGTCAAGTTGCTCAGTCTCCACAGCGAGGAGGCAGCCTGGCATTGAGGGTCCCTCTGAGGAACTTCTGAGGCTGCTCCCCACAGGCCTCCACTCAGTCAAAGATGCAGCACAGCAGAGCCACCGCCCTGCCTTGAACATGGCCTCTCTTTGTGGTCCTACAAGTGGTGCCATCTGCCAGGCAGTGGTGGCGCATGCCTTTAATCCCAGCACCCAGGAAGCAGAGGCAGGCGGATCTCTGGGAGTTTGAGGCCAGCCTGGTCTACAAGAGCTAGTTCCGTAACAGGCTCCAAAGCTACAGAGAAACCCTGTCTTGAAAAACCAAAGTGTCCTGCTGCCCACTTGCAAAGCTGTGGGCAGTCCCGAAGTATGACTCTCCTAGTGCCCTGTGTTGCTGCAGGCTGATCTGGTAAGAAATCTTTGGATAAAGAATTCTTTATGTGTCAGGCAGTGGTGGTTCCTTTAATCCTGCACCTCAGGAGGCAGAGACAGGCAGATCTCTGTGAGTTCAAGGCCACCTGGTCTACCGAGTAAGTTGCAGGACAGCGAGGGCTCCAAAGAGAAACCCTGCCTTGAAAAAAAAAATTCTGCACACACGAATTCCTGCTTTGAGGCTGTGCTCCCATGCTGCAGAGAAAAGGCTCTTGAGGAAAGAGATCTGGGCACCGCTGGGCAGTCTGTTCTCTAGGTGGACCTAGTACCAGTGCTTGACTGGTTCTTGCTTGTGATATACAGGATCACATATTTGGGGAAGTCAAGGTGATGGCTCCTCAGGGAGGAGATGGTGTGGACCAGAGAGGGGAGAACGTCTGACTAGCGTTCTGTGCAAACGGATGGAGTGAGAAGGAACTACGAGACCAGCAGCAACGGGAAGCTCCCTGCCTGTAGGAGGCTGTACAGAGCGTGTGGCTGCTTCACAGCAAACACCTGTCATGGGAATGCTGGGTGAACTCCAAGGACACCAGATCTGCAAAGCCACCTCCTAAGCATGGTAACCATGGGCATAAAGGACTGGTATAGTCCATGGCTTAGAGACAATGCAGGACGACGGGTGCCGGTGTCTGTCTACCTCGGTGTCCCCTCTGGCTGAAAGGTACCCTGTTGTCAGCAGCATCACTGGGAAGATGGAGTTAAGAGTTGAGCCTCTGGTTATGACTTCAAACTTCCTGACTTGGCTATCCTTTCTAAAGGATACCTCATGCTCTGTGTACAGAACCACTCTGTAGTGTAACGTTGGAAGCCACACCTGGAGTTTCCCTCTGCCCAACGCCACGCTGCTTATAGCTCGTCATTCCCTACAGCCCAGAGGGCCTCCACTCCAGTGTGCTCTCCACAGCTCTGACAGTGCTGACTAAGGAGTCTGAGTCACTGGGGTGTGCTTGGCCTTGATCAGCCTTGGCCGTGGGGACAGCCCCAATCTCTAGCCGCTGCCTACACCCAGGTGACAGATGAGAAAGACCAGGCTTCTGCGGAACTCTGGTCAGGAACCAACACACAGGATGCCACCAGCCCATGCCTCCACTTTTGCTTGGATGTCTGGATTCCATTTTCTGAACAGTCATGTTCACTGCAGAGTCTGATTCAGGGCAAGGAGCCAAGGTCTCCCACCAGCCAGAGCGGGGCCCATGCCTTACAGTGTGGTACAGTGGCAGCCTTGGTTTTGCTCTTGCCACTGCCTGAGTCTTGGGGACACCAATCTCTTCAGGGCACATGCTGTCCTTGGACCAGCAGAGCCTGTAGGCTGTACACCGAGGTCTTGTAGGCTGTAGGAAATGGTGAGCTACAAGCAGCATGGCATCGGGCAGAGGGAAAGCCCAGGTGTGGCCTCCACCGTTACACACAGAGTGGCTTCTGTGGGTGGATCACAAGCTTAGAAAGGACAGCTGAGCCAAGGCTTGAAGGTAAAGTAACCAGAGGCTGGATTCTTAACTCCATCCCCCCAGTAATGCTGACACAGGCATGTTCCAGCTACAGAGGGACACTAGGTATCCATGTCCTCACAAAAACTTAGTTTTGGAGCTCTCGGAGTGCACGGGAGTGTATGGGAGGCGATGCTGCTGCTGCTGCTCCCAGAGGAGACAGTGTAGCACCTGGTGATTCCCACTGCACACAGGCTGAGCTGCTTTTGCTCCAGGGCACCGTGCTGGGTCTTTACCCCACATAAGGCTAAGCATCAGTGACTCCATACAAGAACTACTCTAGAAGCACCCTGGGGTCTCACTGTGTGGGTCCTAGGCTATCTCCAGGGTCCAAAGGAAGGTACCTACTACCTTGGCTTCCTTTCACGGGTGGGAGCAGGGAAAAGAGCACAGTTCTGCTCACAATACCAATGAGGCAGAGTTTTGGGTAGCCATGCCCTTTTCAGGCTACCAGATTTCTGGGAGGGAGGGGATGCGACCATCAGAAGAAGGCTGGACTTAGGGTTAGCATGGCAGAAGGAGGCTAAGCAGACTGGCATGGGGGCTAAGGTCCAATATCCACGACTACAGCTCAACTCTGTCTATACCAGGACAGCAAGAGACGGTGAGCCTGGCTCACCCTGGTGGTTCCGGTTGTATAGCAGAGTCCTTATCCTGCCCTTCCTACCCTTTGGCACAAGGCTTCCTGTTGTCTCAGAAGAAAGCTCAGGTACCTCAGGGTCCTGAGGTCCTGTCAGGAGACTGCCAGCTGGGATCTCCAGCATAGTCATCCTCAAGCTGCTATGTTCCTTCCTCCTGGCACGAGTGTGCCTCTGCTCTCCATCCTCCCTCCCCTTGCCCTCTCTCTGCCTAGTCCATTCACAGGAAATCCCCTGGATGTCACAGGCTCAAACAGCCTCCTGCTATTTGACTATCTTAAGCCAATCCTTCAGAAATTCATCTAATGTCTGACTTTGGACTTCTTAGTGAGGGGCCATTTTGGCCCCCCCAGCTTATCCTGGCCTGTTCAGCACAACCCCATTACCAAGGGCCAAATCAAATAATATTAACTATAGACATGGAGGCCAGGGCAAGCAGGCAAGGAGGAGGCTCCAAGCACCCGAGACGCCAGGCTGCTGGGCTGGGAGCTAAAGACAGTCTTCATTTTGAAACGCACATCAAACAAGTTAAGTAACTTTTACTTTCTATAACAACATGTGTGTCAGAGTGCATGATCTGGATTTAGCCTCCTACCAATGGCCTCCTTAGTCTGACCTGACGTGTGCGTCGAGGGATTTTGTTCCAACAGAAACAGCATGCAATCAATAAAATCTTATTACATGGATTTATGCACTGCTTTCAAACCCAGTGCTAGTTCATGTCTCTGCCTTAAACTGTAATTGAAAATAAATCTGGGATACTTGGATTTCGGTTTCGGGATGCAAGGATGGAGTAGGAGGCACGGCCTTCCCAGTGGGGCCTGGCCAGGGGAGCAGTCCTGCGGTCGGCTCGCTGTCCTGGTCAGGGGAGCAGTCCTGCGGTCGGCTCGCTGTCCTGGTCAGGGGAGCAGTCCTGCGGTCGGCTCGCTGTCTTGGCCAGGGGAGCAGTCCTGCGGTCAGCCCACTGTCCTGGTCAGAGGAGCAGTCCTGCGGTTGGCTCACTGTCCTGTCCAGGGGAGCAGTCCTGCGGTCGGCTAGCTGTCCTGGCCAGGGGAGCAGTCCTGCGGTCGGCTCGCTGTCCTGGTCAGGGGAGCAGTCCTGCGGTCGG